CTCTGCGCAGCTCCCGGCGAAAATCATTAAAAAAAAAAAAAAAAAGAAAAAAAAAGGAAAACAGAATACTGCTTTATATATAAAAGCCAAAATGACTGAAGAGCCACAACTGTCTCCTTTTTTACAAGGCGGGCTGGCACAAGTGACCCTCAATATACAGGTGGTCTATCAGAAATAAAAATCAACATTTCCCATTTTATATATATAGAGCTTGTATCAGACAACAGTACAACGGAACTGGTATTGTTCAGATTATTAAAAAAAAAAAAAGGAAAACTACATCTCAGTCAAATATCTGCAATAGATCCATTTTTCCCATTTAAGGAGATTTATATATCATATTGTTATATTATCATTTCTTCACCCATTTAAAAGAATGGAAATTGCAACTCTACAGTAGTAATTATAGTCTTAATGATCCAGGAGTTCTGAATGTAAGATGAAGTCCTCTCGAAGCAACTGTTGGTCAGTAGTTGATCCAAAACGCTGGACCACTTTGGCCCTCTGCCCTGCTCCTTTCCCGGCCAGGGCTGTCGTATCTTCACCTCTCCTATATCTGCATCTGCTCCAGGTATTTGTAAGTGGGGTTCTCGTAGCCGTGGTTTTGCATCTTGCTCAGATGCCGCTCTTCTGGGGTAAGCATCGGGTCAACCTTTAGAAAAGCCAGATGAATACTGGTCAAAGGAGGGACTTGCAGGCCTTATTTCACAGTAACAACAACCAACAGACAAACGCTGGGTAGATATCGCGGCAAGCAGTAAATTGGGGAAAAAAAGGTAAGCCACAAGAAAAGGATTTGCTTCAGGGAGTTCCTCGTTTGGGTGCTAACACCCCCTTGCCTGCCCTTGGCTCTTTGGGGATGTTCTCCACAAATATCTGAAGAACTTAGCTGATGTTACAACCTGGGAACCCACTTCTCCCATCAGCAGGCCGGTACAATTTTACCCATTGGCCCGGCAAAGGGGAAAAGCCACTTTCTCCAGACTCCATTAAGTTGTCACCAGAAACGTGCACGCTGGGAGCCGAAGGAAGAAGGAACATCTCCTCGGCGTCCGGCCGAGCGTTACCTGAGTTGGGAGGACGAATCGCTGCAGACTGACCGACTTACTCTCCTGCTAAAGATACCGCCTGAAAAGCTCATTTACTGCTAAATCCTATCCTGACCCAGACAGGGAAGCCTGATTGAAATCCTCGTGATAAGCGAACGCCGCTGTGCAGTGACGGGTCCCAGCACGGCAGGCTGACGACCAACACCTGCATACTAATAAATAAGCAACCAAGATGTTGGCATCTGCAGAGTTAAGTCACAGAATCACAGAATGGTTGGGGTTGGCAGGGACCTCTGTGGGTCATCTCGTCGAATCACAGAATGTTTGGGGTTGGAAGGGACCTGGTGTGGTGTGCCCCCCCCCCCCCCCTGCCGAAGCAGGGTCACCCAGAGCAGGCTGCACAGGACCTCGTCCAGGCGGGTCTGGAATATCTCCAGAGAAGGAGACTCCACAACCTCCCTGGGCAGCCTGGGCCAGTCCCACCTAGCTAGGAGCAGAGCCCTCCACGGCTTGGCAGCTCCTGCCATCTTCACCCCCAACACACGACATGTGATTCAACGCTGACTATTTCCATCCTCAGTTACGGAGCAGGAGCTGTTTCTCACCTCCACAATCCCATGGCTGATGGTCCCGTACTGCCTCTTCCTCAGCATCACCAAGCTGATGACTACGACGGTAGCTATGGCAACGGCAATCACCAACAGACCGATAAGGGCGCTGCTGCTGAAACTGAAGTCATCGCGCAGGGAGCTGTCGTTGTCCTGGAGGGACGAAAACAACGGAGCGGGTAGAGGAAGAGCGACGCGGGACAGGCACTGCTAAACGCAAACCTAAGAGGTGGCCACCGGTAAGGTCTTCAACCGTCTGTGGTATCAAGACACGACCGATTACACTAGACAGCGCAAATATTTCACTTCTAAATATTTCACCAGCGGAATAATGACCACAAAGTTGCTTCCCAGCTTGGGCATTCTGGACAGGCACCGGCCCACACCGCTGTCCTATCCCACAAAACACTTTCCCAATGGAAGAGCCAGGTTACGTAATCACAGAATAGTAGGGGTTGGAAGGGACCTCTGTGGGTCACCCAGTCCAACCCCCTGCCCAAGCAGGGTCACCCAGAGCAGGCTGCACAGCACCGCGTCCAGGTGGGGCTGGAATATCTCCAGAGAAGGAGACTCCACAGCCTCCCTGGGCAGCCTGGGCGAGGGCTCCGTCACCCTCAGAGGGAAGAAGTTCTTCCTCCTGTTCAGACAGAACTTCCTGTGCCTCAGTTTGTGCCCGTTGCCCCTTGTCCTGTCGCTGGGCACCACTGAAAAGAGCTTGGCCCCATCCTCCTGACACCCACCCTTAGTTAGGTTAGCATCTAACGTGGGTTTACTGGTTACATCTTTAGGCAGAAAGGCCGTACTCCACGACCTCCCAGAGCAGCGTCGAGGCACCAGACCCCGAATTCAGTAACACGCAGGAAACGAAATCCAGCTTCAGGCATCTGCCGATCGCTGGACTCGGTGACCACGTACTTACCGGCTCGTCCACCAGCCCGCCAACACGCTCCGCGTTGAAAATCATTTCCTTCACATCCAGGGTTTCATCAATTACCTGAAAACGGGCACAGAAGCGTTTTATGAAAGGAGCCGTACAAAACCGGTGGGAGAAGGAATACGAAGGCAGACAAGAGACCTTTAACAAATACTAGCAAAGGCTCGAACCACCTACCATCCTCCCCCTGCTCTCAACAGCGTGGGATGTTCTCCAGCTTCTGAAGCCACCCGAGTACTGCAACCATCTGGCCACCCAGACTACCTCCAACTAAAGACCCAGATGAAAACCCAGGTCCTAGCCTCGGACACAGCACTTCTGTCGCGTAAGATCTAACCTGTGGCTTTAAAACAATTTCAAAAGGAAACTCTCACAAGCTGACTTTTTTTTTTTAATTTAAAACCCAGGGAACTGAGGCAAGTCGGCCGCCACTCTGACCTAGTGAACTCTCTATGGTGTAGACGGAGCTAATACCTACTGGATTCACTCGCCTTCAGGAGGTTGTAAGGCCTTTCTCGCCATGAAAAATAGGCAGGACAACAGATGGAGCCCGCCAGCGTTCGGTGCCCTCAGACTGCAGCTACCTAGCTAAAACAAAGGTGTCTCAAGGGCTCTCCACCCGGGAAAGCCACGACTAAATCGGACGCCTCTCCAGCTCAGACCGCCAAAGATCTAGATCTCTCTCCTTCCCTCACCCTCCCACCCTCCTGATGCTGATCAGTATTAAGAGCCCGCAACAGTCAGAAAACTCTCTCCCCCACACCATATGGGTAAGGAACGCGCTGACATTCTGTAAGCAGGAAGGAGGCATGGAAACAAGCCACCGCTATTAATTAGTGTCCACGGCAGGCTTCGCGTCACAGAATAAAGGTGGAGGGCTCACCACATTTTCATCCACTTTGTTCTTGCTGTTAATCACTTTTTCTTCAGCGCCAATCAGCCCGTCCAACTCGGTCATGCCAGAACCTGCACCGCGGGAGGAAAGCGGGGAGCGTCAGTCAGCCCTCGGTGACACCTCGGAAGCGTTACCTACTCTCTGTAGAGCTGCCATGGCTAGCGTGATTAACCGCACGGACCGCCGATTATTAATCTGTCTTCATGCTGTTGTGTCAGAAGGGGAGCTCATAAGCTATGCTACAGTGACGAGTGATTGGGGGGGGTTCTGTTAATGAGGGGAAATGAGGTGGCAATGAGAGGAGCAGACAAGACTCGCCAACAACAGGCTGAGGTGTCAATCCAGAAATACCACACTGTTCAAGTGCTGCCGTGAGAGAAGGCCCGAGGCAACACACAACGGGAACGGTGAGCGCGCGGCTCCTTTCTGCAAACGTCACGCCGGGTCCCCACCGCCCCACGGCGACCCCCGTGACGGAAGCACACATCTCCGCCCCGCCGGGAGCCGCACGCTCAGCAGCACCCGGTTCTTTCCACCCCAAGCCCGTCAGCAAGCGCCTCGGGAATGGGGATTTCAAGGTCGCCCAGCACGGCTCTGTAACGAGCTGATGTCCCGTATCTGGCACGAGCCCAGAAACCATAAATCCCAGGGCACGGGAGGAGCAAAGAACTGCACCAGCCTTTGTACCAGAACATCACTCACCCAGTTCTAGGCTGAAACTAGCACAGGCTCCGGAGAAGAATATCAATTAACACAAGGCGGCTGCTCTGCATAAACTGTTTTGATCTGAAGGGTTTACAAACAGAGCAGATCAATAACAGAAGAGCCTAGTGCAAGATACTCAGACCTAACATAACAGAGCAAGCTAGGAGAACGCCAGCTTCCCATCACCAGCAGGGACAACGTAACGTCCTTCGCCACACCTACGCCTCCCTAATGCAACAGCAGGAGGACGGCGAAGCCTCAGACCTACAGCGGGGTCTCTCCAACGAGGAGGTATTACCACAGCACCGAACGCTTTGCCGGCGACCGCACGCACCTCTCCACAAGCTGCTGAGCTTGCAGGTTGCCTAAGACAGTCTGTCAACTGCTGCTGAAGTTGGCAGCGCCTTCTTCAATGAGATGCAAGAAAAGGCCAGTTGGCTCCACGGCAGGTTTTTACAGCGACGAGCTTTTACCGCCTGAAAATGCCACGGCAACGCACGTTTCACTCCACCTCCTCCCGAAAGCAGCATCTCGGGTTTTAGTGCGTCCCCTTTTCCCGTACGGTTCTTTGGAGCCAGTAATCAGATTCCGAGCACGGCCAAGACTGCCAGTCTGGCTTCTCACGGCTGTCAGAGCAGGTCATGTTATTGTGGAAGTCAATGATTGGGATTTTCTGGAGAGATCAGCCACAAACCATTTTCAGAGAACTACTCTGTTGGCTTTTGGCCTACGGCTGCTTTACTCAATTCTCGGGAGCCAACGCCGCGCAGTCTCCAGGGCTGGGAGTTCAGCTGCTGCACTGAGCTTTGCTGTTTGTCACGGAGGGCTGGACCAAACAACAGACCCAGCTCGACATAGCTCAAAGGCACACTTGAGATATACTTCCCAGGGGAAAAAAACCCCACACAAGCACACAAAAAAAACCCAACCACCCCAAACCCCCCAGCAGCCCTCCTGAAATGAAAAGTGCAGGATGTAATCTTGTCCTCAAATCATCAGAAACTCTTCCGTTTACCCAAACGGGGAGAACCAGCCTCTGTTTATCATTTTTAAGTCAAGAAAGCAGTTGTCCACAAAAGAAAAAAAAAAAAACCAAAACCAAACTAAAGGCTGTCCCAATTCTTTCCAGAGCAGGCAGCACACTGAATTAGCTGTACACTATTCCACAAGAGGGATGAAGGTGACTTACATTCGTAGAGAAACGCTACGTAATGAGAATAGTTTCAAGCTATGTGGCCTTCACCACGTTACAGAACTATTTGTGTTCATATTAAATGGTTATGAGCAAAATCTGCTGCTCTCCTCTGAGATTCTGCACAGCGTATCTGGAACCAAAGGCAGACTGAAATGCTGGGTTTGCTCCCCACCCATAGCACATGGACCACTGCGCTGCAAGAGCATTTTTGGAATTAGCCTTCCATTTCTACTTCGGGAACTACACCTGTGGCCAACATTTCTACGCCGCTCTTCAAGGCCAGGCCAGCCCCTTTTTAGCCAGGTAGGGAGTTCCTGCAGAACAAATCATGAGCTAAAGGAGAAATGGACAATCACACGGGACTTTGCTAGAACGGAGAGACGCTACGTGGGAAAAGGCCATGCCGAGGAGACCACAAAGAAGGAATCTCCTAATTTATCTGTCCCAGACCAGCCACACTCTGTAATACCTGTGAGGACATTTAGCTGGGAAACACAGCCTATGCCTGCTGCAGAGCTCGCATTCCTAGTTCAGTGCTGTCATCGAGCGGTGAGGACCAATTCCAGAGCAGGCAGAAGAGCCTCTAGACTACTGACCGTCAGCACCGCGAGGTTTGTTCTGAGAAGTGTGGAACACGAGTACACAGGGAGAGATGCAAAGTACTGCACGGCTGCAGCCAGCCTGCGAGGCCCACAGCTCCTGAGAGCAAAGAAGCCACTTCACGCACTCCGAGAAGCTTGTGAGCCCATCAGGGAGGAACATACACAATCAATCAGACGCTCAGACTAGCTCGTTTCTTTAACGCTAGGTCTAAACAAGCAAAATCGAAAGTTACTGATCTAAATGTGAGCGGGGAAATGAAAATAAAGGTGAGTATGAAACTAACATGAAGCTATCAAACACACTGAGAAGGTAGGAGAGTGATCGAAAGCACTGTGAGGGAGCAGCTTAAAACCAACCTTTTTTCATTGGATGGTACAAATCCGGCTGAGGATCTAGCAGGAGGGAAAACAAAAACAAAAATAGCAGAGAAAGGAGATTAAGAGAGAAAGGAAAAAAGGCTTGCGCATGATTTCTGACTCAGACCCTGGGAAAAGCTTTTAGTCTACAGCTTTCTTTAAGCTCAGGACTCTGTTCAAGCATTTTCAAAATAAACACACACGCACACGCCAGCTGTCAACACCCGCCAATACAAAAAAATATAGATATACATTTGAAAATGAAAAAAAGAAAAGCAAAACAGTTCCTGCAACCCTTCAGCAGGTCACAGCACACAGACTTAATATTACATGAGAGCGTTTCGGTTAAAGACTGAAGGTGAATTCCAGAGTCAAGCCACGCGGTAAAAAATTCAACACTCCCTGCAACACGGAAAGAGACAAAACATTTCCGCAAAGAGAAGATTCAGAAAATCAAGAGAGCAGCTCAGTGAGAATTACTAGTGGCCATGCCTCTTTCCAACGGGCAGAGCCTGAGGAGTACTGCTGAGGCAACTGCTCTGCTCTTCGGTCACCCCAAGGGACGGAGCTTTCTGCGCCACCGAGCTGAGCACACCGGCTAAGGAAAAGCACCGACGCTCTGTAAAGCCAGCGAACCCGATTTTCAGTTCCGCATACCTTCGCTTTCAGGCAAGGCTGGGAAGGTTTTCACCTGGAACGGACGGAAAGGTTTGCCCTCCGGGGGAATTTCTTCGCTCTCCTCCGAGCTCACTCTCACGTCCACCTGGGATTCAGAAATGGAGGACGTGAACTGATCCATGTCCGCACGCTGCTCCTGCAGCAGCTCATCTGAAAGGAGCAAGAGGAAATATTACACAGACCGCACGGAGCCTGGCAGGAACAGAAAGGGGCAGATGGTTTGAACCTAGCTGAGGAAGGGCTGCAGGGGAACACTGTTCGGGGCTGCCAAGTTATCTGATCTTCAACGCTCTGAAGGCTCACCTGGAATTCTCAGTAAAGGCGTTGGCTACAAATGCACGCCAATAAAGGCCAAGAGGTTTGATGTGGCAAGAGGTTTTGGCAAGATGGGATTAAACCCCCACAAAGCGGGAAAGCATCTGCTTATTTTTATGGACCTTTTTCGTCTCCCTTTGAGAGAGCGCTTGCTATTCTGGATGTCATTGACTTTTTTTGAACGGACAGCGAAAGTTCTCGGAAACAAGCTAAGCCCAAGGGCTCGTTGTTGAGGGCATCCCCTCAAAGGAGCTGGCAGTCTTTCTGGAGCCCCCTTCACCTGACAGAAAAGCCTGTAGTCTACCGCAGCGGCACGGGAGCTGGCGCACCGAGACACTCACCAATCTCATCCTGGATTTCTTCAGCCACATATGGCACCTTGTAGAGCAGAGACAAGCTTTGATTCATCCGCTCCTCAATCACATGGAGATGTGTCATCACCTGCAAATGTACAAGGGCGTGTTGGAGTAGGCAAAGACTGTCAGTCACTTGGCTGCTACCGGCACGTCACTCATTTAATAAAGTACCTACTACTGGTGGATCTGCTCTGACCAGCAATAGACTGGGACACGGGTCCATTTCTCTGACCGATGCTCTTAACGCGTCGTGCTTCACTGGAACTGGCCGTTTCTACACGGCACGCCCAGTGTTTTGGGAAAGGCTGGGGGTGGGAGAGAGGATTCAGCAGACTCTTGCTGTGCCCAGCTCTCCACTGGAAACCCTACCACTGGTATTTCCCGTGTGCCAGATACGGTCATAATTTATTTCCTGCAGCAGCTACAAGCGAGTGCTTTAGTAAATGGATTATCATTCCTGACGACCAGAAGAGATACGCGCAAAGGGAGCAGACAATATTATTTATCAACCCTGGTTTCAGAACAAAGGTGCCTTTCAGAACAACGGTGGCATTACATTCGTCTTACGCCCGCTACACCCGCCCACCAGCAACAGCGTCCTCCCTTTATTTGAGAAATAAATTCAAACTCTACGCCACCTCAGATCGCTCTTCCCTAGCATATTAAATCCACTGGTGAAGTCAAGCCTGACCTGAAGAGGGTGCTGCATAATCAGGGATCACGCGGACCAAGAAAACCATTGATATGGGCGGCCAGATGTTGGGAAAAGCTAAGGAGTTGAACGGACCTGCTTTGCAGTCTGACGTGCACCTGACCTTTAAAAGCAAGGATGAAAGCTATTTAATTTTACATGTGGCAGCTTGTCAATCAAGGGAATCGATGGAGGAGCTTAAAGTGCATCTGAAAAGTAAAGCGAATGGAAATTGAACTGTACCACCCACACGCCTCGCATGTCGATTTGTTGACACTGCAGCCTTCAGAAGGAATTAAGGACTGCTTCGGTTTTAGCTCAAGAACACAGTTCACACACTGCCTCTCGGGCTTTGGCAGCATCAGAACAAAGGGTCAGGGCGGACTGCGCTCGCTATGCTAAGCTGCCTCTGCAGGCACCATCACGTATTCCGCCCCGCAAGCCAAACACCAGCTTGTAAACACCGCAACTGCTACCACCTCTTCCTGAGGATGCGCCGCTTGGTAAGAACCACAGAACCAGTGGCAGACACCCCGAGAGACCAGAGCTGCCGGCACACCGCTCGCACCCAGGAACAACACGAAACCCATGGGAGCAGGCACCTCCAAGAGCGAGGTTCGCTTCCGGAAACTGCCTGCAACACGACTCTACGCCTCGCCAGAGCTGACCGCGACCGACTCCAGTCCCTGTCTTACTCTTAAACCTGAACGACCTGGATGAAGAGTTAGAATGTACCCTCAGCAAGTTTGCTGACGACACCAAACTGGGAGGTGTGGTAGATACACCAGAAGGCTGTGCTGCCATTCAGCGTGACCTGGATAGGCTGGAAAGCTGGGCAGAGAGGAACCTGATGAGGTTCAGCAAGGGTAAGGGCAGGGTCCTGCACCTGGGGAGGAACAACCTCATGCACCAGTACAGGCTTGGGGTGGACCTGCTGGAGAGCAGCTCTGCGGAAAGGGACCTGGGTGTCCTGGTGGACGACAGGTTAACCATGAGCCAGCAGTGTGCCCTGGCTGCCAAGAAGGCCAATGGGATCCTGGGGTGCATCAAGAAGAGTGTGGCCAGCAGGACAAGGGAGGTTCTCCTTCCCCTCTACACTACCCTGGTGAGGCCTCATCTGGAGTACTGTGTCCAGTTCTGGGCTCCCCAGTTCAAGAAGGATGAAGAGCTACTGGAGAGAGTCCAGCGGAGGGCTACAAGGATGGTGAGGGGACTGGAACATCTCCACTACGAGGAGAGGTTGAGGGAACTGGGCTTGTTCAGCCTGAAGAAGAGAAGGCTGCAAGGGGACCTTATAAATGCCTACAAATATCTGAAGGGTGGGTGTCAGGAGGATGAGGCCAAGCTCTTTTCAGTGGTGCCCAGTGACAGGACAAGGGGCAATGGGCACAAACTGAGGCACAGGAAGTTCCGTCTGAACATGAGGAGGAACTTCTTCTCTCTGAGGGTGACGGAGCACTGGAACAGGCTGCCCAGGGAGGTTGTGGAGTCTCCTTCTCTGGAGATATTCAAGACCCGCCTGGACAAGGTCCTGTGCAGCCTGCTGTAGGTGACCCTGCTTCGGCGGGGGGGTTGGACTAGATGACCCACAGAGGTCCCTTCCAACCCCTACTATTCTGTGATTCTGTGATACTTCCTCCTACTGGTTACGCAACCAAATAATAAAGCATTTTTTTCCTCAGTGCCTATTTCCTTCCATCTGGCAGCACTGGATGTGCCCCACCGCACTGTCTCTTTGCAGCTCTCCTTTCTTTTCTGTTCTTGAGTCTCTCTCACGCATTACAGAATTCAAAGACGTCTCAAAGCAGCAGGCCCGCCACTAAACGGGGCCGGCAAAAAACAAA